ACTTTTCCCACCACCCAACCCCACAAGTTTGGATAACCTCATGAACAGCTGAGGTACTTTGCTGCCTGCCTTATTGAGAGTGGGTGTTGCCTGTTAGGAAAATAGGGGGCTAGGTATAGTCAAGGAACCCATTGTCTTCCAAAGGAACACTGGGGTTGAAGGGAGTCAGCAAGCCTAGCACCAAGCTTGAGAAATCTCCACTCAAGCTATTGGTCGGGGTAAGGCCTTGAGAGTCCCAAAACAGTATAGGCTGAGTCTGTACCCTTGGCTACCTCCCATAGGTTGATCAAGTCCCTATCACTGATGACACCTTGTGCTTGGACACAAGACTTGGAGGATTTGAGCTGGATCTGAGGGAGTGAGGAGAGATGTGACTTGGGAGAAGTTATAGGGGGAACAACAGTAGGGGGCAGCATTGGAGTGAAAGGGGGGAAGGGAGAAAATGAGTAACTAATATTTCAATCGAAATAACATAACTTTAAAAATGCAAAGGAGAAATCTGGGTTTTATGAGCTGCCTTTTGTGTGACTTCTCCTGGGGAGACAGGACAGGACCACATTAAAGATTCCATTCACTCCACTATGATAAGCCAGAGAGGCTTCTGGGACAACTGACAGGAGCAAGGATGACTCGAAGACACTGTATCACCAAAAAGCCCACCCAGGTGTCATGATGTCTCTGTGTCCCTGCAGCTCCCTGCCCATCTTGTCAGAAGCGCCACTGGTCAGTTCGCTCTTCCTAGCAATGCCTGCTGTCTATCTGATCCCTGGCAGGGGCCTTGCAGCTTTCAGGGCTTCCTGAACCTTGTAAATCCTGAGAGTTCTGAATCTCATCGGTTACCTAGGTCTTAGGAACTTCCCTCCCATCCCTCCCTGACAGGATGCTTCAATTAACTCTCACTTATTAAGAGGAAATAGCTACACAGCAGATGTTTTTAATTCAAGAGAGAAAACTAGAAGCAGGGGGAAGGTGAAGAAAGATGATGGGAAGGAGAGAGGAAGGGAAGGAGATGCTCTGCAGGGGAATTAACTCTGCCCAGGGGCTGCCTTTTATGGGGGCACTGATGGTTTCTGTTTCATTTGGCTTTGCTGACACAGGGCCTTGTCCTGTAAGCTAACCTGGAACCCACAATGCTTTCCTCACTATCCCAAGGGCTGGGATCAGGGTGATGATAACAGTACCCCTTTGTACTTGTTTGTCCAGTGTGGTAGACATGGTGGGGAACAGGAGAGAAAATGGGAAGCATTCCAGCGCTTGGAATCTGTGACCACCCCATTACCAGTCCTAGTTGAGACCAGTATCAATTGCTTATCTACTAGAAAGAAATTTGGGGCTAGTGTGTTAGTCTTGTCTTTTCCTCTTTAGTCTTAAATTGATGGATAATTTGACCTCTATTAACAAAAGTGTTGAGAGGAATCACATTTCTATGCTAAACCAGCACTACAAGTGGGAAATGGAAATAATATGACTCCTGGAGATGTTGTGACATCATTCCTGTCGAAGTCTGTTAGCTTTCAGATGCTGAACTTCAAGCCATTCCTCTTTTACAATTCTACTTGGCACACTCATTTTTTGGATCCAGCCACATAACACAGGAGACAGGCTGTTCTTCTAACTTTATGAGATCTACCAGCTTTTCATAGCAGGTGTCCAAGCCTTAAAAGTCTAAACGTGAATTATAGACACACACCGTTTAATAACTAAGACACCATCATTTTCTTACTTCCCCCAAATAACAGTCTTTTATGTTTCCATTAATAATTCAATTCATGAATTAAAATATTCCATTAGTCGGGAATTTGTCAGACCTTTAATACTGTCCATTTTAGAGGGAAACGGCATCAGCTGACCTTTCTTTATGTATAAGACCCTTCCCTATATCCTGTGGAGGGAACAAAGAACAACCCACCCTCTGCCCCCTGCCTTCCTGAACCTTGCAACATCCATGGAGAAATGAGGGATTTAAACAAGGAACAAGTGGTATATGAAAATTACAATTCAAAGAACAAAGAGAACCAAGCTCTGAATGATTTTAAAAAGTAAAGCCCGTGACTCAAAGGCCTTGGGAAAGGAAATGGACTTCAAGTGAGGGCTTCCAGGACAGTGGGCATTTTCTGAGGACGAAGGAGATAGAGAATGAGAGAAAAGTCAGCGAACACAAATGCAGGAAAGCGAGGGAAAGAAACAGCTGTGTTATTGCAAGCGGTGGCACTCCAGTGAGAAACAATAGAATAGGAACTCATACAAATGGTGTCACTGTGTAGACAGCAAGGACTGGAGATGGGTAAGTATTCAACACACTAATATGAATAAGTTTGATTTGTTCTAGATTTCATATGAGAGTGGCCAGGGTAAATAACACTGTAAAGTTCTCTGTAGACAGTTTTGACTGACATTTGATAGTGAATCTGCCAGTGTGAGCTTACCTATGTCTACAATCATAATCATGCATACAGCTTACCTATGTCTACCTATGTCTTAATCATTCACACCATCCACCAAAACTTAGGGAAGAAACAAAATCAAAAACAAAACAACAACAAAACCTTGTTTTGTTATTTTAAAAATATGGTAATTTCTTTTATTTAAAGAATCCTCACCCAACCATATTTGACTTCATCTCTGGAGTTCACAACCTCATTTAAAAGTGTCTATATACTGTCCACCCTCTGCAAAGAGGCGGGGCCCTTGAATGGTGCAGCTTGAGATACCTATAGAAATACTATGGTCAATTAGGCCAGTGAATTAATGGGGAACCCAGAAAAGTTAAGTGATTAGCTTGAAGTATCTGCCTGCTTGTCAGAAAAATAAACTTAAATGCAGACTCCACTAATTTATAATCTATTGCTTTATCCTCATGACTTGATGTCTAGTTATTCTTCCTAAAATACCAAATCAGAAACCGTATATGATTTTGCATAGGTACCTATCCTAGGTGATATAAGATACATTTTGTTTTCAATTAGCATTTTCCCAACTACCTCATCTGTCTCCTCTTTCTGTCTCTAACCCAACAATCTCTTTTAATACTTAAGTCTCATCCTAAATGTACTTAAAATCCATGTACTCTTAAGCTAACCTGTGTGTGCAAATATATGAAGCACCTGGTTTTCTTTTGCACAAGAATGAATATATATATATATATATATATATATATATATATATATATATATATATCCCTTATGGTTATGTTGCATATTCCTTATGGTAGACTATGTCCTGATAAAACCTGCTGCTTCCCCTAGTCTTTATCTCCAGGTTTTGCTCCTACAAATGGCAGTTGAAGGAGCATGCCATTTACCATTACCTTTCTACTGATACAGTTTGCTTCATAGGTTCAGGGGTGTGCTGTAACAACTACACTACTTCCCTGGAAAATCTAGAGTGACATGCCTCTGTGCCTATGACTACTAAGATTCTTTCCTCCACTCAGTCTCCCCAGGCTACACTGCTACACATCTGCTTTTGCAAGTGCAGTTGGTGTAGCGTACAATCTCACTGTGTGTTTATCTGATGACAAATGAACTTGCTCTTCCTTTCTGAAGCTCACTGGTTATTGGTTTCTTGTTAAGTGTGCTTTCCCGTTATTTTGCCTACTTTTCCAACAGATTATTTGATCTTTACATTTATAAGGGCTATTGGTATAATATAGATATTTTCAAATGTCTTCTACTTCTTGCAAACATTTTTCCACTCAAATATGTAATCTAAAATATATTTTATAGAATTTATAGAATTTTTTGTTATGGAAAAGTTTTGAATTTCATGTAGCTATCCATTTGGGGTTTTTTGTTTATTTGTATGTTTTCATTTGTTTTTCTTAATGTATGCATATACTACTGCCACCACTATTACATTGATAACTCCCAGATTTTATTTCTTACCTGATCTTTATTTATGTCTTATATTTTAATGCTTTAGTCCATATAAATACATCTAGGATTGTCTTCAACTGGAATATGGTTATTAAACCAAACCTTCCCTGTCTTTCCTTTTAGAGCAGCTGTTCTCAACTTTCCTAATGCTGCAACCCTTTAATACAGTTCCTCAGATTGTGATGTCCTCCAACCATACAATTATTTTCATTGCTACTTCACAACTGTAATTTTGCTACTGTTATGAATCTTAATGTCAATGCCTGTGTTTTCTGATGATCTTAAATGACTCCTGTGAAAGGCTCATTTGAGCCCTTGCCCCAAAGAGGTAGTGATCCACATGTTAAGAACAACTGTTCTAGATCATCTACTAGTCCTTTCTATTAGATCCTTTAGAAGACTTGAAATGCCCTTTGGTCAAAGACTAAAATCCCCCTTTACATCCAGACCCATTTCTGGATACTCTGTTGCAAAGACTCTTGATCTCCTCAGGCCTGCTCAGTGCTTCACAGAGTTAGTGGCACTGAGGGATTTTACTTTGCTAACAAATCAGAGTACAGTGATGACTTCTGAAGTTGTTATGGAAGTTGGTTGTGTGAAAAACTCATTCAATGGACAGCACTCATTCAATGTGAGCAGAAATCTTTTCAGTCTTTCTACCTCAAGTAGAGTTTTGTATCAACAAATATGAGAAGTTTTTGGTGTGATTGTGTGTGTGTGTGTGTGTGTGTGTGTGTGTGTGTGTGTGTGTGTGTGTGTGTGCATGATTTTGTCATTTGCTTGTTTGTCATCCCTAGTGAAAGAACCTGTGTCATCTGTTTCTCATGCTAGGAGCTGCTCTGCTGCTGGGCTACACCCTCATCCTTTTCAAGTCATTTAAGATAAGTCTCACTCCCTTGCCCAGGCTTACCTTCCACTTGCACTCTAGCCTGAGCAGGCCTTGAACATGTCACTCTCCTGCATTTGTCCTCTGAGAGCTGGGAAGATGGACCTGTACCACCAATCTAGTTTCAAGCAGAAAAGTTTTAATGAACTTATGTGATCTTATCAAAATGCCAATTCAGTATTTTATTTCCTCCTGAAAAGGTATGCCATATTAATGATACTGTTTGCTTGATTCCCTAGGCCAGTTCTTCAGAGGGCTCATCCCTATGTCTTCCCCCTGAGTTCTGCCTACTTCCCGGTGAAAACGTACGTGGGGGCAGACACTGGAGTGCTCTTGGAGAGAAGTCCCATGGGGACTGTACCTGACCCTCTGAGAGTGACTAAAGCCTCCATGGTGGCAACTTCTGGAAAGGAAGAAGGTCGAGGAGAGCTGCAGAGTGTCTCGCCACAACAGGCTCAGCCGGAGAAGAATGCCAGTGGCATCATCGGCAATGCCCGGGCTGAGCTCAGCCTCAGGCTCAGTGCAGCTGCTGAGACCATGATGCCAGCTTGTGTACAGGAGACCAGCCAGCAAGACATGGCATCTCCTGGTGTTCTACATGAGGTGGCCCAAGTGTCTCCCACACACAACACTCCTGATGACCCCCAGCTGCAAGGAAGCAAGGACCTGGCAACACCAGGCCCGGATCCTACTGCAGAAGAACTTACATCTGCACCAGTTTTAATGCCAGCTGTTCAGCACGCTCACCGTGCTATCCTACATGGCCTGACAAATACTAGCACCTGTCTAGTACCTGAAGATTCCTTGGTGGAGTCCAAGGCAAACTCAAACAGTGAGAAACCTGAGAAGCCAAGCTGTCCCAGCAGGGCCACCTGTTCCAGCAGCAAAAGTCAAATGCTCTGTGATGTTCCTTCTTCTGACAAGATGGAGGGAATTGTACAGGCTTCAGAGCCAGCAATGGGGGTTCACTTGTCCCCTTCTGCAGACAGACCTGACCGGCAAGAGCAGAAAGTCAACAGTAACACCACAGTGGGGTCCAGTGAACTTGTAGCAAGAGGAGGATGCTCGCAGATCAAACAGCCCTCTGCTCCTGCAAAGCTTCCCCCATCCTCCATCCCCAGCGGAGATCCCACATGTTCTCCAGATGCAAAGAAGGTACCGCTGCCAGTGCAGCATCCGGTGTCAAGGTTCAAAGAAGCCAGTACAATGACCTGCCAGGCTGAAAGGGAGACTAAGGAGGTCCCTGAAAGAGCTTGGCAAGATGCCGAGGTGCAGGCAGTGGCGAGTGTGGAGAGCAGGTCTGTCTCTACTAGCCCCAGCATCCTCCCGGCATTCTTAAAGGAAATCCCCACTCCTGAGCAGGAGAACGGGCAAGAGCAGCTACGTGTAGTTTGCCACGGTGAAGGCAGTGGAGGCCACTTGCTGGAACTCTCTAACAGCATGGTAGACCCACAGGAGTCAAGGCAGAGCATTGGCATTGTGCCACATGTACACATCCAGCCAGCTGCTGCCACTCCTGCAGCTTTCCAGGGGAAAGGCAAACCAGACAACCAACCAAGGGAAGCCTTTAAATCCTCACTGACAGCCTCCATTCAGAACCAGGATACAGAGAAAGATGGGCAGTCTTCAGCAAGCCAAGAGGCAACCTCCAAGCAGCCTACCGGTACTAATCCTGGCTCCCAGAAAGCTAGCCCCGTTGGGCAGATTTCCCTCATTGCTGGAAGTCAAGCTGAGATATGTCATGGGTTGGGGAACTCTGAAACCAGGCCACCTGAATTTGTAGTGAAAACTACCAATGACCACAAAACAGGGCCAGACTGCAAACTACCTGACTTGCGCGGAGGTGTCAGTAAAGATGGCCAGCGGGAGAGCTTGAACCCCACTGATAACAGAGGTGCAAGGGATGGGAAGCCCGTTTCTCCTCATATTGTCAAAGAGCACACACCTGGGACCACCTGCACACAAGATGCCAAAACCCTATTGCTAAATCCTAAACCTCAAGAAAATGAAGGTACAGGACCAGAGGCCAGCCTTGCACCCTCCCCGGGGAGGAAGAGCCAGCAGAATACCTTGGAAGAACACAAACAGACCAAGACAGCCACGAGCCTGAGCCTGCCATCCGATGGCACAGGTGACTCGAGCCCAGGCTCTGGCAAGAGGACCCCTTCTCGCTCAGTCAAGGCCAGCCCACGAAGGGCCAGCAGGGTAAGCGAGTTCCTGAAGGAACTCAACGTGACCGCAGCTGCTGCCCAGGTGGGGCTCACACCTGGAGAAAAGAAGAAACAGGTGGGTGCAGACTCCAAGCTGCATCTGAAACAATCCAAGCGAGTCAGGGACGTAGTATGGGATGACCAGGGCATGACCTGGGAAGTGTATGGTGCTTCCTTGGACCCAGAGTCCCTGGGAATTGCCATCCAGAACCATTTACAAAGACAAATTAGGGAACATGAGAAGCTAGTTAAAACACAAAGTGGCCAGACTCGAAGATCTATTTCCTCAGATTCTTCTTCAAGTAAGAAGCTCAAAGGGAGACAGCAGGGCGTTCTGCAGTCCATGCTGCAAAACTTCCGGCGCCCCAACTGCTGTGTCCGCCCCGCCCCGTCTTCTGTGTTGGACTGAGGAAACGGCGCTGCTATATGAATTGTGGTATTCCTTCTGTCTGTCTCTGTCCCTGTCAAAGCTTAAGGGTTTGGGTTTCTGTTTTGTCTGGGGTTTGTTGTCGTTCTTTTCTTAAGACACCTGGGAGTAAAAGCAGTTATTAACTTAGCTATTACAAACTGTCCAGTCCTCTATAAATAAAATGCCATTTCACATTGACATAAAGAACACAAGAAGAGAAGCGAAACTCGGAGATGGTCTGCGCCCCTAATTCAGAAGAAATAATCCTCACTGGGTTTTTTTTTTTTTTTTTTAACACGTAATTGTTTATACAAACACATTTTCACTACACATGAGCCTTTTGGTATTAGTCTATGACAGAGTGGCATTGCCACTAAAATAATCTGCTTTACATTAAAACTAAGAAAACCCACTATTAGCAACTCTGTGATGACTTCTAGTCTTACGGAAGTAAGGATACTAGTACCACAAAGGTTTAAGTGGTTCATAAGAACCTTAATGTGAAAAACTGAAACAAATTCAATTTGTAGTCAAAAGCATTTAATAACAAATAGAAATTGGCTGTAATCTCTGAAGCTAACCGTTTTTATGTGGAAAAAGTTCTAGCTAGAAAAGTTAGCTATGCTTCCAAGTATGAATATGGCCTGTACCAAACAGGAATTTAAATCTGTACATTTTTCTGCACTGAAAGCAACGTGCATCTCTGTGTTTCTGAGCAAATTAAAATGGCATTTTCTCACAGTAGACAAAATGTCCATGACTGGAGTCATGAAATGAAGGATAATGGTAAATTTTGAATTATAAATTAATCCTCTGGTTAACAGTTTCTCCTTCAAATGTACAACCTATATCAACCTATATCCCTTCAAGATTTATCTTTCTTTTTTCTTTTTTTTTTTTTTTTTTTTAAAGCAGGGGTTTCTTTCTCTGTGTAGCTTTGGAGCCTGTCCTGGAACTCTTACTGTAGACCAGGCTGGCTTCTGCCTCCCAAGAGCTGGGATTAAAGGCCTGTGCCACTCACTACCACTGGCTTCAGATTTATCACTTTTAAGAGACATACTTCAGAGATCTTTGTGAAATCTTGAGCTTTGGGTGGCCATGTTCTCTCACTGGTTTCTACAGAAGGATAAACATGGGCCATGGAAACATCCTTGGGCACTGAGCTGGAGTAAGAGCAACAACTTGCACATTGGGTGTGCATTTGGGGAAGGCCTTCCTTCCAGCATCATTTCTAGCCAGTGCTGACCTGTTAACATGTTGGACTAAGATGTGAAAGAAAGAGCAACAGTTACCTGCCTTCACTGAAATCACTCTCGATGAGGCTCAAGTATCAATGATATACCCAAATATTTATTTTGGCTTTTCCAATTTATTTCTATTCTGTAGATTATAAACATGAAAATTACACCCGAGCTCTAAAAGCAAACCTACTACATTGCATTTGATTTCTAGGAGAACAATTTAACTGTGTATGTGGCTGCATCAGTAGGCCACGGTGACAGCACCCTCTGAGTTGGAGAATGATAATTACAGTGTGATACTTGGAACTTACAATGAATGTTTTAATAAGACACATTTTCAATTTCTTACTAATTGGCCTCTACTAAGAATGCTTTATAAAGTAGAAATTACTGTCAAATTACTGATCAAATTGCTATATTAATGACTGGAGATTTAGTATAAAACTCATTTGTCTCAGATGCCTTTGCTGGGACTTAATCGGTCTCCCATCTTGCACACACTGGGGCCTCCTGTCACATGTCAGCATCCATGCTGAGTATACACAGATTTCCCCCAAATACCCAAGAGCAGCTGTCCACAGGGCCCACTCCAGACGGTGGGTCCTAGCAATCCTTTGTTGTGAAGTGCTACAACAGAAAAGAAGAAAGAATTCTGATCAACAGTACTGTCTGTGGGTTCAGAGGAACCCTAACTGCCTAGACAGTTCAGCGATGCTGAGGACCTGGAGATCTGTAGGCATCTGTCCCAGATTCAGCAAAGCAAGACTGCTCAGTTTGGTGTTATAGTTATGCCTCTCAGATCCAAAACTTAAGAAGAGATATTTGATTAATAAATTCTTTGGTACTAGAACTAAATTTTTAATTTCTGCAAGACTCTAAAAAAAAACACCACAAAATGGGGAAAATTCCCCCCCTTTGGTTGTTTTAAAACTTATAGAATTGAAAGCTTTTAGAAACAGCAGTGGAAATGCCTCACCAAATGGATCCATTAAGCTGGGAACCTGTTCAGGTGTTTATGTCATGGTGACAGACACTCTCATAGTAAAATCCCATTTAAAGTTTTACCTTTGACCTTCAGGACATCGCTGGACCCCTTGCCTTCTTTATCCAGGGAGGCACATGATGGCTTTCTTAGCACACTCCTCATGGCTTGCTGTTCTTGCCATGTCTGTGTAACATACACTGGTTTGGGAGTTATTTGTGTCTGCCGTTCGCTTTTTCCACATGTCATTTAGACCTTCCTAATACATCTTAGATTTTGAAATATAGACAGTAAATGTCTCATTAAAGAAAGAAGTAGAAAATATTTCTTTCATTAGTAATAAAGGAAGTGAAGCCTCAGGGTCTGGAAAGTTCATTCAGCATTTTCAATGTAAAAGTGCTATACCTCTTACAAAGAAAATACTAGAAACTGCCATTATTCTGTTTCAATGACCATGAAGACAAACACCCCAGCTTCCACTGTAATTTGCTTATTGTGAATGATTTTCTAGCAACATATTTTCGAATTAGTGGGTTTGGGCGCCATGACCACCTATGTAACATACAGTAAAATCCTGATCAACCCTTCTTTGGAATCAGGGACATGTGATATATTATGTTATGTCAAAAGTTAAGCAGAAACCTGTGCATAAGTATGTATGTCCAAAATGAAGTAGTTGTAAAACGGCTCATGTTTGCCTACCTTTACCAGCTCAGCTATCTAGAAAGTAATTTGATCTTTGATAGTTTTCTGTTTTGTTTTTTTTTTTTTTTGTTGTTGTTGTTATTCTTAGAAAGTATCCCACACACATTATTTTGGATATCTGTATTCCCTGCATTGTAGATTAAATATAAAGCTGAAGTTAAGTTGGACTGAATGTGCATGTAAAAAATTAAACTTCAGAGGTTGGACTTTGTAACCAAATCCTTAACCAGAGCTGGCTATCTCAAAGCAGAAAGATAAAGAGAAGGGAATTGTCATTTGATTTGATCTAGGAGTCTCTGGGTTTTGCTGTTCCCAGTTTGGGCTATTTTGCTTCATTTTTGATATCCTCCAGCATCTGGACACAACCAAAATAGAACACACTGGGATTTCAACTTTTATTTGTAGGGGATGTATGACGGTGTGCTTTTAATGTCACTTGCCCAGCCATTTTTGTATTCACTTTTACATTTACTGTACGTACATGAGAAATCACTGTCTCCTTTTACTTCTTCAGTGAAAGTGTTTCTAAAAGGTCCCCTTCTAGTGCCACATAATTCTCCATATTTCCTGTCTGCTTTTTCAGATCAGTACAAAGAAAGCAATGTGTTAGAATGACATCTGTGTGATTTTATTGCACACAGCCCAGTCATGGCTTCCTGTAGACTCAGATTTACTAATTAGCCACAGCGCTGCCATGGAGACGAGGCTGTCTTCCTCTGCTTTGTTCTAAATGGTGTGTGAGTAATAAGCTTGGGAAATCCCCAGTGTGGTGACACAGTGACCTCTGAAGGATTTTAAGTGAGTTGATGACATTGTCACTACCACTGCTTTGTCTGCGTGACAAATCAGAAGCCTTGTTTCTGTCCATGTCAGTACCTACCGAGTCACATTTCTAAACTGGCATTTTATTTCCTGTTAGCCCTGTCCCTTGATTTGTGTGCGGCCTCTTTGTTGGTTCTTTCCAAATGCAGGTCACCTGCTGCCCCCCGGCAAATGAAACTGCAATCTGTGACTCTCCTGCCATCCTTAGCAGTATACTGTCCCCTAACAAAATTCTGCAGCTGATGAGTGACTGTGAAAGTCATCTATGCAGACACATAGGCTTATGAATAACTATATAACCCTGAAGAGTTTTGGCAAAAATAGCTTTGTAAATACTGAAGCAGTTTCCCATGGACTTTGTCTTACTCTCGGAACAAAATCTATCCTCCTTGGCTTCAAAAATCAAATAAGTTTGATTTTCAATAACCAAGAAAATAAATGAGGAACTGAGGTGGGACATTTGTCTCACAATGGTATCTGCCAGAGGTCTTTAATGCTGTGCTTAATGCTGAACACTCACCAGCTCAGCTACTCACTTGCCACAACCAAATAACCTCTCTCAAAGTGAATTCAGTCCATCTGTCAATGTGGATATATATACAAACAGCAGATGATCCTGAAGACACTTCTGCTGTTGGGAAAATCAAGGTGACAATAATTTTAAAGGGCATCCAAATAACTGCAGTCTCGGTTAGACGATGGGAGGCCAGAATGGTGCAACAAGATGTTAATTCCACGTTTTTTCCCCCAAGACCTAGATATCTCAGAAACCAATTTGATCATAAAGACTGTTGACTGTGAAACTAAAGCCAAGCAATACCGTGCCAAAAAGAGGCAGTTGTACCAGCAAGAGCATCAGCACACATAGTTTGCTCTGTGAAGATGCACTAACTCAGATAATATGTGGAGGGACAACTCCTGCTTTCTGTTGGAAAGAAAACCTGGATAAATGCTTCACATATGGAAGCAGCACCCATGACCAGGAGCAGAGATTAGCTTGCCTCTCTGTCTCAAGCCAGCCATGACAGAGAGGAACTACTGAGAGCCTTGATGGCTTCAAACTCAAATCAGCTGCAGCCAGAACCTTTGTCAAATAAAAGGACTGAATTTATAGGAATTTCATTTCCTGGCAATTCACTCAGCTGGATATAGTGGATTGCTAGACGTAGCAGTGAAAAGCAGGCTCCCAAAAGTACTGAAACATGAGCCCTTCTCACAAAAGGAGCCTCAAATAATGCCTTACAGAGAAAGTTCTAGATGATTATTGAATACTACTGACTCATCAAGTG